ATGTTCAGTGTTAAATATTTTTAAAGTGTCGTTTTGTATTTGATTTTTTTTTTAAAGCAAGACAAAACAGTAAAAAGCACATTTTGGCTTTTTAATTTCTGCAATGGTGAAAAAAATTGCCAAATACATGGGGGAAAAAAACTTAAAAACGCAAATCCGTGAATGAATGTTCCGAAGTGAAAAACTTAAACGGAATAAAGTTGAATGGAACTGAATTGTATTAAAGTTGAATAAACTTCAACTTTACTGTTTAGTGCACGGATGTCAGACTCATTTTGTATAATAAAGTTTATTGTTAAATTGTTAAATGCCCTGCCTCCATTACGTATGTATCTCTGTCACGTCATTATAAGTGTTTGATCACCACATTTGAGTGATCATTGCAAAAAATGTGTTTATGTATATATATTCTGTTTATGTATATACTGTATTCTATATATAGTACCAGTCAAATGTTTGGACACACGAATGGGAAAGTGTCCAAACTTTTGACTGGTATTGTACTATAATATACACAAAGAATATCGCCCGATATATCGATAGCCTTTTTATACCCCCTAATATCGGTATCGGTCTCAAAAAAACCCATATCGGTCGGGTTTTAATGCTTATACTGGAAATAAAGATTATTGCTGTAAGTTAAACCAAGTACTTGAATATCATCGAGTCTGAAATGTAGACCAATCACTGAAATGTAGACCAATTCCTCGAGAGTAGAAGATTCTGGTGTTGTTCTTGTGTCCTGTGCTGTGCTATGTAGATTTTGAGAAAGAGTGAGTTGGGTAAGTGCTCTGTTTTCTATCTCTAGGCTGGATTCATTCCAGAGGTTCCGCTAACTTGCGTATCGGCTTTCTTCTCCCACTCAGCCCTCTGGAGTGCTGTGATGGTACAAGATGTAATCAAAGGAATGCCTGAGAGCGTATTTACACAATGCATAGGGCATATGGAAACCCAAACATTTCAATGCAAGCTGCTTCGCTGTAGTGTTCAGCCAACTGTTGACTGTACCTCAGGCTCCAAAAACCTGGGCAACTGTTGAGTGGAAGTTGTCATGACAGTTTCAAAACTGAGAGTTACGTAACCAGTTCTTGGATGGACATGATGGTCAAGCAGCAAGCCCAGTTTTAAGACAATACACTTCATTTAGATCTCGAACCCCATGAACAGTTGAATAATACAAATTAAAACCCAAGAGGGACCTTCTTCATCTGAGGCAATGGTTTTTTGTGTTGGCAAGAAGCAGAATGTTGAATGCAGAAATAGAATGTAGAAAGTAAAATGAGGAACCTTTATGTAAACCACTGTGGCATGATTGGATGGATATTTGGTTCATTTGCTGAACAAACAAATATCTCAAATAATATCTCAGGTCTGTGGTAACTATTTTAATGATGTGTGGTGAAGAGATTGAACCAGGAATCCAAAAGAAAAGGGCTGATGGGGTTGCTCTCAGGCTATTGTGATTTTGCAGTGCCATGCTCACAACAAATCAAAAATGGCATTTCAAAGGACGCCAGTGTTTGTAAGGTTCAATATTCAGGTGGTGTTTTTTTTATTTGCAGATCACACAGTCTCTTCCCTCAAAATGGGTGCTTTTTGGCCAGAATAAGAACAAGCATACCAGACTTTATGCCGATAGTCAAGATTATCTGTCACTTTTTCCCTGAGTAATGAACATGCCAGGTGGTCGAATAGAACACTTACAAAATGTTTCCAGGTGATCTCTTTAAGAGGGAATATAACACTTGTAGCTGTCCGACAGTACAATTTTTTTGATCCAATAAGAAATTATAAAACTGTTGCAGAATATGAAGATATCAGATTTATGGCCTTATCTGTATCATGACCAAGCTTTACCAACATTTCTGTGTTTCAGTATTTATTCTGTGGCTCAGTTAAAAGGCATTTACAATATTGTTGTCCTTTGGCTGACCCAAACTACAATATATGACAATGAACTGAGGTCAACGTAAATTTGACCACACTGTTCCCTAATGAAGCCATGTTTGTTTTTCGCCTCTGATGACTCTGGCCAACAAACTCCCCAATCGACCCTTCCTTTATGACAGTTTTAACACAAGAAGTAGAATCACACCAATGAGATCTTTATCTTCGATGGGCAACAATTTGCGTGAGTGGAGTGTTTGAACAGCTGACATGATAGTGTATTTTGGCACATACACCATGTTAAATATACCATCCATTCCTCGTATGACTCATAAAAAATGCTAATCTTTAATTAAAAAAACACTCAATATCATGTACTTCAATCAATTTAGAAGAACAATGGATGTAATAAAGTTTATTTCATTGTGGATGTCTCAAATGACCCATTTAACTGTGTGGTTTTGGGACCAGAAACCAGAACCACACACTGCGGCCAGGAAGACCACATGTCATCTACACTACGCCAATGCTGTGCACACTAGTGCAGTGGAAACTAAACAGTCAATTGTCTCTGTGTGTGGATATTCTTATAAAGACACAATAGGACTGCTTCTCTAATTACCACAAAGGCAATGAGGTGCACTGGAAAGCACTGAATCATGGGGAATATGATTGTTTTTTACCTTCCATGACTCACCATTCTATTCTACTGCGTAATCAAATACAGCATACGGTGACGTTGACGTTGACTTTGCCAAGTAGGACGTGTTCCTGGATCAACATTTTGTTGGTCCTGGAACAATATTCTTGTCAAACAAACACCGCCATAAACCGAACAATTTACTACCCCAGCACTAAACCCAATACTACACCTAACAATGTTTCCTAACTAGGAACAATGCGACAAGTTTGTCTGTCTAGAATAAATGTGAAACTGGTGTACCATGATACACAGCCAATCTGAAAATATTTAATGTTTATTCAGGGCGTTCTTACTCCTAACTTGTCACATACTGACCCTCAGCATCACTTTTTAACGCTCAGGGTACCCCTTTAGCGTCAGGTCATGACGCATGTGTAAAAGTATACTTTTTTTTTTTTTTTTTTATGTAAAGTGTATAAATATTCGTACTTTCAGAGGTATTGGGGCATCTAACCCCACTCCTATCCTAAACCAATCCACTTCTCCACAACATAAACACTTAACAGGCAAAATCACAGTATTGTATAAATATTTATTTACATATACCTGCAAACTCACAGGAGGTGAGAGCAAAAAAGCTGACATAGTTTGGAATATAACCCTTGTAGGGGGGTCTGGAGGCATCCCCCCAGAAGAACATTTTTGAGAATTTAACATGTACATGAAGCGTTCTGGTGCACTCGGACAACAAAATAAAGGAAAAAGACAACATAAGCTTCAAGTTTAAAAAAAGCACATTTACACCACAAACTTTGACAAATTCACAAAATTGATCTAATTCACAAAATTAGAGTGTGCACACTATCAACAAACTCCATCTTTTCACTGCAGAGGAAACAGAAGCTGCACCTGAAGTGTCATTACATGTATTTACACAGACAGTTTGATGAAGCTGAGGTGCCATGAATGCATTTACACCACAATTTCAAATGCATAAATAATTTTATAAGATTAATATTTAAAATATTTTTGAACATACAAGTTAAAAATATTGGGAAAAATGCGATACTTATATATATTAAACCAAACATTTTTTTTAATGAGCGAGTCATTAGCCATTCATTCAAATGGCTGATTCATTCAAAAACGAGGCAAGTCACTACTGTCATTATGAACGGGTTACTGAATCATTGACTCACTTGATTCGTTCAAAAATGTGGATTCATTCAGAAACACAGCTGTGTTGCTCGGAGACACACAACAGTTCTGCTGTGGCTTTGATTGAAACTTCGTCAGCGAACTTGAGCAAAAACAGTCAATATTGTATTACAAATTGAAGAACTTCCACGCCGACGACATGTTTACATGTGGATGTGAGCGTAAATGTAGCGTCAAAACGGACCGGCTGTGAGATGAGATGTATTCGATCTGAAGCAGCAGCGCGCAGACCGATCGCACATCAAAGTACCACGAGAGCGATTCGAAAGCATGCAGAGCCATCTGCTCTCTGTAGCTCTCGCGGTGCTTTGATGTCATACAGTGATCGGTCTGCGTATTGCTGCTTCATGTCGAACCGAGAAAGGGACTTTGGTTGAACACACTCCTGTCTACAAGCTTGCAATTTCTCTCTCTCTCCACCTAGACCCTCCCCCCCAAAAAAACTCTTCGAATCTAAACGATTCACAAATGACATTTTGATTCAAAACAGCGAATTTCGCAGAAAAGCGACTAGTTTGCAGGCATGTTTACAGGTATTTATTAATACTCCAATATGTAATTTCAGCATTTATGATATTCCCATGTCCACCGTGTCTGTGTATGCTGCCAAAGGTTTCTCATTGAAAGAAATGGAGCACACTGCATATCGAAAAACAGCGCTAAAGGTGTACCCTGGGCGTTAAAAAGTGACGGCGAGGGATCCTGACCAAGTGTCAAAATGTAACAAATTGGGAGTGAGAATGTGTTGGTTTATTGTAAAGCTATGAAGAGGGACAAATGAGATTTCAAGATGGGCAGAGTTACCCAAGTTAACGTTCTTCTGTGGAACACAACTTTTTTTTGAGCATTCAATGTCTATGAATAGTCACAAAAACTAGTTACCAACATTCTGCAAAATATGTTCTTTTGGAACAACATGAGGGTAAATGATGAGCATACGATGACAGAATTGAAGCATCCCTTTTAGCTATCGTCAAATGTTCCTTTCGCTTACAATTGTGGTTGGTTAGGAAAAGACCTCCGATTTAAATTGAAGAGAAAGATAAAAATAAGATAAAGGCCTTTCATCACTTGTCACTTTAAGACGCCGTGCCTGGTTAGGACACAGTGTGACTGTTACATCCCTGTGTTGATCTAGGAACATGGGGCACTTGGTGAAATCACCATAACCCAGAGGATTTTGTGTGTCTATGGCATGTCAGTGACCTACCCTGACCCCTCCCACCCCCTGGACCCCATGTTGCACCCCTACCTCCCAGCACGCTGCAGGTGATGGCCTCTGTGTGTTGGGCCAGGAGTTCAGCTTTAGCAATGGCAGCCAATGACAAGTAGCTGGACATGTTTCTGCTCAGCTCTTGGTTCCCCTGCTGCAAGAACCGCACTGCCACAGGGACCGCTAATGCCATCACTGGAGGCCTGTTGTAATTCTGGAAAAAAAACAAATCAACCCAACTTTAGACCTGCATTTAGTTACGACCAATACAAACATTGAAGCCTGAATTGAGACGCTAAATTAGAAGTTTCATTTAAATAAAGCAAAATCAATGTACCAGCGTGTGCTAATTCTGTGTGCCAATAAAGATTTTAATAGATTCAGGGAGTGATCACATACGGGTTAGCTGGCTGCTTAGTTAACTGAATAAAAATAACAAGAGATACTATGTAAGGCATGAAAAGCAGCAGTAAACATTTCAAACAATTAAAATGAACTGAACACAGAAAGTATGTGAAATGTTCTGCTGCTCCCTAGTGTAGAAGATGTGAACATGTCAGATCGAAACGGGTTGAAAATCAGATGGGTATTGAAAGAAATGTCAAGTTATTTTATCACTACACTACTACACAGCAATTACATTTGATATATGTGGTCAAAGTAAAATAATTCAAATATATGTTTAAATCTTAACAGTTTGAGTGCCATAATTAGTGAATTCTTCAAAAAATATACATGAATCTAATTACTGTACATAATAGTCATGGTAGGAGTATGAATTTCATTTCTTCTGTAGCAAATGAAAAGATTTTCCTTTACTGTAAAAAGAATGGCCAATTATTACATTCTTGCCTGAAGGGAAAGGGTCCTTGAATATCAGAACTAAAACTTTAAAAGGAATGACGTAGGGCAAATAACTGCCAAAGAACCCAAGCTAATTATAAAACACCCACTTGAATAGGTGACTGCTGCTCAGATCAAAGAGCCCTTCCACAAATAGTTCTGAAGAACTCAGGCATAAGACTGTTCAAGCTGCAGTTCTCTAATGAATACTGATCTCCACCACTACCCAGAATGCATCACTCTAGCTCAGCCTCTAAGCTCTGCTCTAAGATTCATATGCGGCTTATTATGTAAGTGAATGTGCGTGAGAGAGAGAGCGAGCGAGAAAAATATAAAAAGAAAAAGAGGAGAGAGGAGTCAATGAATGGACACAGAAAGTATGTGAAATGTTCTGCTGCTCCCTAGTGTAGAAGATGTGAACATGTCAGATCGAAACGGGTTGAAAATCAGATGGATATTGAAAGAAATGGCAAGTTATTTTATCACTACACTACTACACAGCAATTACATTTGATATATGTGGTCAAAGTAAAATAATTCAAATATATGTTTAAATCTTAACAGTTTGAGTGCCATAATTAGTGAATTCTTCAAAAAATATACATGAATCTAATTACTGTACATAATAGTCATGGTATTCACGTAACTGAATGAAAGAGATGTGCATTGAAGTCTTGCAAATTTTCATGTACTTAAGAAATCGGTGCCATATATTGTGAGAGAGCAGAAATCACACACAATCAAATGGTAGAAATTTTGTTATACTATTTATACTGAGGTATATCTATGACTTAATTAAAAAAATATGGCACCTAAAAGAAAACTATAGTCTACTCTGCAAACTGCTTTGATTTGAGAGCAATTTGGTTTGACCACACCGTGTGTAAATGCTAAGCTGATGTGCAGTCACAGCGGTTCATATATTGGTTATTTTGCAATACATTGCATTTGTATTACGGTTTTAAATCTTTTGTTTTTACCTCTTTACTATACATGAAGTGGTTTTGCACTGATGCCAGATTTATCATTAATTTACAATAAATCTTATATTTTGGTTTAACTCCACCCTGTTTAAAAAAAATTTAATAAAAAAAGTTTATTTCTGAAATATCAAAATTCTCTTATCTTCTTACATGGTTATGTAATATATAAAACATATATGGACTGACATCCATCCATTGACTATTAAGCTACAGAGTATTTAAATGCAAACAGCTTTATTTAGATTTCTGAAAGCATGAAGTACAGTATCTTTAAACTTGAAAGTTTGGTAGCAAATTTTCTCATCTTTGTGGTGTGGCATGTTCGGAATGATAATGTTATGCAAAAGACTGTGGAAAGCAGGACACTGTAGGCCCTGGAGAGAGAAATACAAGAAAAGAGAGAATGAGACGAATAGAGAATGAGAGAAGGCTACCCCTGAGACGCTGGATGAGCCCAAATCTGTTTACAAAAGCCAGCCAGAACAAAGAAGCCCAACGAGGCAAGAGGAACTGGCTTTATCACACTCAGCGACACCAACATTCCTTTCGAACTTCTCTCATTTAAATATAAAATATGCTAAGTGTGGAAATGAGGGGTCACCTTATTCAAATTATTCAGATATGCAGTGCTGACAGGGTCAGCGTTCAGCCAGAACAAGCCATATGCTCTCTAACTTCACTTTAACAGCATCAACTAGGCATGTGATCAGCTAAGGAGAAAAAAGAAGGAAAACCCATTCAATATGACTATATAATAACCATTTATTATTATTTTTATTTATTATATTTTCAGATGAAGATAAATAAATATATTACTGTTGCAACCATTGTACAGTAAAATAAAGAAGAAAAAAAATGATTATGCAAGTAATTATGTAAATAATTAATTTTACAGAAGAATTAAGTTTTATATTTTGGCAGTAAACCACAGACCCTAAAAGTTTTTCTTTTCTTGACAACAGATTTATAATAGATCCTCATTACAAATCTGGGAACATGCATGCTTATTATGAGTAGGGCTGGACAATAAACAATATAATATCGAGATTGCAATAAAATTTGATAGCTCTGGTCTTTTTAACTCGATGTGGATTAATCTAACAGACTGTCATACAACAGAAATAATTGCAATAACAGCCTTATAATGCATGTCCATTATAAGTCTGCATGTTCTGCATGTCTCTCTGTGAATGAGTGGTACTATTACACAAACTCAAACACGTGTAACGCTCATGGTTCCGTCTTAATATATGAAAATTGTCCATGTAATATATGGACAGTCCATATGAAATTGCTCTGAGCTACTCAGATTCACTTCACAATTTTCTCACCATTTCATTTGAGAAGAACTACAAATACACACTGAAACTCAAAAGATCTTTGCGACAAACTGCCAAAATAAAAGTTTAACGCAAAAAAAACTGATGACAGAAATATATTATTGTATATTAAAATGTTCTTTTATCACACATTACTGTTGATAGAATTCATAAAAAAAATTACCAGCCAACCATTTAATATACTCGCCAGTGCTAATTTTCAGTCACTTAGCAAGTGTTTATTTTGTATTAGGCTACTTACATTAACTGTAATGTACAATATGCTGATAAGCATAACAGTGTCCGGACTGACTCATGGTTGAATTTTGAGTTGAATGCGGTGCTTTAATTTTCATATTACCACAATACAAAAACCAGTTCATTTATTTTAGTTTAACTTTTTATTTACTTTACTTTCTTGAATTCACTTTTTACATGTAGAGCTGCATGATTCTGGATACATTTAGAATCCCATTAAAAACAACAACAACAACAAAAATAATAATAATAATGATAAAAAATAGAGATCACGATTCTTCAGTTTCAGTGTGATCATGCTTATCAAATTGACAGTCAAATCATTGTCATTTAGGAATAAGATAATGTGCTTATTTGAATCGAGATTGCAATTATTTAAAGCTGCAGTCCGTAACTTTTTTTTGTTTAAAAATGATCCAAAATCAATATTTGAGCAAGTACATAACCAGCCAGTGTTCAAAACTATTGCCTTACTTTAGCCCGATTCACAACGGTCATCTTATAATAATGTTTTCTAATTTGAGTGGTACAGGTAGGTTTTCGTGGGAAATTCGAGCATGGCACTGCGTCATTACGTCACGTCTGTAAACATAAAGAAGGTGTCCCGGCTACTAGGCTATCGCATGTGAGGATCCTGCAGGTGGTGGATCATTCATAGCCTTTTCTCACAGCAGCTAGAATAATTAAATGTCAAAAAATCATTTTGATGGAAGATTGTAATCCAGAAAGGATTATATGAAACACATGTGAATGAAATTAAGTTATATTCCAGTTTTAAATGTGCTTCTGATTACAGATTTGGATTACACAAGATTTGTATTTTAAAGAAACCCAGTTCGAAGGGAGCATAGTTTGCTTTTTGGGTTAAAATAATTTTTTGGTATGAAATTCGAATGCTAAAACAATTAGAGATTAGACTACAGAAATTGAAATCTACACACACACTATACTCATAGTCACGCAATGCTGATGTTGTTAACATTAATAATCTGAGAATAAAGTATAACAATAATAATAATTTGCACGGTTGGATGTGATTAAACCGTTCGATTAAATCACCATTGGTAGCACAATTTAGGCTATCGTAATGCTTTTTTCCTCAGTTGGTCAGAACAAACGTGGCAGACTTGTTACTTGTTCAGATGACAATATCAGGTGAAAATTCTTATTTGGGTCATATATTCCAAGACGTAGGCTAGAATCTGTGATTACTAAGTATAGGATTCACACCGGTGCAGTGACTGACTGCCACACATACTCCTCAAAACATTAGATTCATCCGTGCTGGAGCCGCGCCAGAGTACAACCCACGCAAGGAAGATAATTCAGCAAGTAACTGCAATTCCAGGTTTTCGAACAGAGTCAAAACTTACGGACTACAGCTTTAACAATTAATCATGCAACTCTACTACATCACCAAACATGGTTTCCTGTAAAAGTGATATCTGGACCATAAAGCCCAGAGGAATCACATGACGAAACAGACAGAGGGTCTGATCAGAGGTTTTCTTTTTTCTTGACACATCCTGACTGCTGTGGCCAGCAGGTGCACTGGATGCTCTAGCTCTGGCCTTTTGATGAGAAGATCCAGCCTGGTCAGCATGACTGGATGTCTCTCCAAGTAATGCCAGTGAATAAAACTCAGAGGTGAAGGAGTGACTTGAAGAATCTGATTTAGACTGGTGGTCTGATCTTCTGTTTCCCTTCTCTGCTTTCTGACCTGCCAGAAGTCTTCCTTTTCCATATACCACCTTGACTCAAATTCCTAGCTGCTCTGGTCAGTAAGTGCTCTTGATCCTCTAGCTCTGGCCTCTCTGTTGTCTCTGTGAGAAAATCCAGGCTGGTCATCATCAGTGGATGTCTTTCCAAGTGATTCCCCAGAGATGAGGGAATCAAATGAAGAGTCAGAATGATGGTCTGATCTCCTCCTTTTCCATTCTCGGCTTTCTGACCTGCCAGAAGTCTTCCTTTTTCTTTTACCGTCTAATCTTTGGTCTGCAGGTGTTCTGGATCCTCCAGGGCTGGCCTCACGGTTGACCTGGTGAGAAGGTCCAGGCTATTCGTCATCCATAGGGATCTCCCCACGTGCTGCTGGTGGGTTATAAGTATACAAAGGATAAAACCCAAGGGTCGAGGATTCACCCGCAGCATGCACAGTTACGCCCCAGACATCAGTTTGCCAGGTCAGCATGGCAACCAAAGGACTATATTCAGTGTCAGGTGTCCATTGATACAATAAAAGTTCCCTGAGAGCTCTTCGAGTACGCATCAAACCTATACTTGGGTTAAACGCGGTCATGTAACGTGGTAAGTGTACTTCTAGATGCATCAACAGGCCATGCTCGTCTTCAAATTCTACTATGAACACAATTCCTGGAAAATCATCTCTATTAATATAATTTTCCTCATCGTGACCGACAGGAGGTTCAACCAATAGGATGTGTAGCTGATGGAAGATATTATTAATGTCACCTTGATCCATGTCAACTACACACTAAACAGTGAAATGTGAACTAGTATTTTAAGTGCAGGTGTCTGAATACTGTATCCAAACTTAGTCAATGCTGTTATGAGCCTCTGAGGTACATCTGCTCAATTTATCGCTTGTACTTGGAATTCTTGCTATTGTGATGACATAGATTGTTCAGATTGTGAGAATTCTGTAATCTCGGTTTAAAAAAGCAACAGAATCTATACAGCTGTAATATGTTCTCCCACAATAATGAATAGACAAACCAAATAACATGAAATTTACTAGAGTCTGACAAAATGTTAATTGATGCAGTCTATTGAAAAATATTTACTAAAGTTTTTTTTTAGCAAATCTCTTAAATTAAAGTTTCAATGACAAATACATTTTTTTAAAATCACTTGTCCCACAGTTGACCAGTTTAAACTTTTATCCCTGTATTTTTGTGATAATTAATGCAATAATAACCATACTAAGTGGGTTAGAAGATTTTATGAAGATGCTTTCATACCTATACATTGGGGGGGTGAAAAGAAAATTATAACATGAATGATTAAAATACTAACTAGACAAAAATAAACATTGAAAAAACACCATTGTAGTAAAATTCTAGGAGACTTTTTTTTTTTTTTTAATTTTTTTATTTTGACCTCTTTAAAATTATTTAAGAATGTTGTGTCATGAATTTACTATTTTGGGAGCGAAGTACTCACTGGTGAACAGGATATGACTTTGATTTCCTCCAGGGCTTGGGACAGACAGTCTTCAATCTCGCTGTCATCCAGAGAGAAGAGGTCTCCTGCACGGGACAGGTCTCTCTGTCCCAGCACTAGACGGAACAGCTGGTGCATTCTGGGACAGGCTCAAACTTGAGCAGGCTGCCCCTGCCCTGTGTTACCACGATGACTTGACATGATCCTGAAATGCGCCCAGCATACATGCATCAGACTAACACCTACAATCTGAGGCAGAGAATGGAAAAAGAGAGAGAGAGGAAAAGTGATCAAAGTAGTGAAGAAACACAACTATGAGGAAGAAGAATTAAGGGGAAAAAGGAAAAGAGGGAGTGAGAGACAATACAAGAAAAAGACATTTAAACTTTCATTGTTTCATTGCATTTAAACTTTCTTTGTAAACTTTCATTGATCTTTGAAATTATTTTATTAAGGGCAGTAGGGTTATACTTAGTCTTCTGAAACTGAAATTATATTCTTTAAAACTATAACATTTAAATTAAAAAAAGAAAAAGTTTGCCAAAAATTCTAAATTATTAGTATGATTTTTTTTTCTAAACAATATCCAGACTGCAAATATTTGATTATATATTTTTAGCTAAATATTTTATCAAATATTAAAAAAAAATAATAATAATAAAATAAATTTAAAAAAAAAGTAAAACACTTTTGATACTTGAAATAAAATAAAAATATAATATTATAATAATAATAATAATAATAATAATAATAATAATAATAATAACA